CCATCTCAATTGTAATCCCCGTGGGTTTCCCATCACCAAGTCACCCATGTGCCATCACCATAATCCCGTGCACTTCCCTCCCCAGCCCCCCTTTTTTGATCCCATTCCCCACTCCACCCCCACAGAATGTCTCTGGTCTATGGTTGTTCATTATTTTTGTTATTTTCTCGCCTGGTCCATTATACTCCTGCTATGAGTGAAACCATCCGGTATTTTTCTTTCTCTTTCTGGCTTATCTGGCTAAGCATGATCTTTTCCAGCTCCATCCAAGTTGCTGCAAAAAACATGTATTTCTCTTTTTTGGTTGCTGAGTAATATTCCATTGTGTATATGTACCACATCTTTTTTATCCAGTCATCTACTTTTGGGCATTTGGGCTGCTTCCATGTAAACTGCTGATTTTTAATGTGAAAAAAGTAAAATGTAATAAAAATAATTTAAATAAGATTAAACATTTTCAGATTTTTTTAGACAAAGTTTTCAGTGAGATCGAACTATATATATAGATATACATACTATTTGTGTGTGTGTGTGTGTGAGTGTGAAAAAAGCACTATTCTTTAGAATGGGATTAGTAGAGAAAATTTGTTTCATCATTTTTATATTTTTCCTCTTCAGTGAGTTTTCTTTATTTTTATATTTATTTTTAATAAGATGTTGCTAGTCATTTACTCTAGTCATGAAAATTTGCCTCAGTTAGCAGATGTTCTTATATTTCTTTAATTAGTTTATGCCTTAAAGAGTAATTAAAAATAAAATAGACGGTGTCATACAAATTTGATGCTTTTAGCCCCTTTATTATTTTTTTTTTTCATTTATTATGTTATGGTTAAATAAGATTTCCCAGCCTTAGCACTCTTGACATTTGGGGCCAGACAATTCTTTGCTATATGGGGCTTTCCTGTGCATTGTAATAGATTTAGCAGCATTTCTGAGTTTTATACATAATATTCTGGATACACTCCCCAGTCATGAGGCAAACAAACAAGTCTCTAAATATTGTCAAGTGCCCCCTAATGGGTAAAACTGCCTCCAACGGAGAATCACTGTCATAGTATATTTACTAAAATTCTCATCATGCTTTTAAGGAGCATTCAAAATAAAGAAGTGTGGGGTAGTCACAAAGTCTACAAAATAAAAAAGCTGCTAGGAGGCCTTTTGGATCATTCACCATAAATAAAAAGGTTAAAAACAGTAACTACATTTCTTAATCAAGGACTAGGTTGTCTAGGTAATTGGTACAGAACAGACCACTGGAAACATTTTAGTGAGTGCCACATAGGGAAATAAAATTAGTTAATAGCTACAGAAGTCATTTATGGCTGTTTTTCTTCAATCATTATTTTAAAATGTGAAGCAGCAGGAGCTGTAGATATTAAAGGACACACGAATGTCCTTTTCATATTGTGCCATCCCCAAATCATAATAATTTTCCATGGCATGCTGAAATAAAAATGTGTTGCACTCCTTTGTCATTATGTCTACAACAGGTGATGCCCAGGGCCCTGCTGGGAATGTGGTTAATCTGGCTTCCGCTCCAAAATTCTTGACATTCTGTATCATGGCAAGCACTCAGCAGGCAAGCCAGTTCAAAGGGTGTTTTTTTTTGTTTAAACGTATGTCAGGGGAAATAAAAAATGTAGTTATTTGAGAGATAAAGGGAAACAAAATGATTTAAACTTTCATTAAATTTGGTATGTGGGTGAGAGAAACATATACATGTCTTAGCTGCCAACATCTAAGTTTAGTATGGATTTGAGAACCTCCATTGCAGCTGGTTTGAACATTTGTATGAAAATCGGAACAGGGATTATTGATGGCACATTCAAGAGCAGACACATCTCTGGACTGCTAAAAATGGGTGTCAAGAAGCAGGTAAGACAGGACCAAATTCTGAATGGTGGGAAAAAAACTAACTCCCTGGGCCTGTGTCGTTTTCCTTTATTCTGTGTTGTATACCTGCTGCAGAGCAAGTCAGCAAAAATGAAGAGAGCAATTTTTTCCTGAAGCTTTTACTAAGTTAATTGAGCTGTCTTTCTTAAGAACCCATCTCAAAAAAGGAAAGAGTATGAAATGTTAATGTATGATGGAACTTCAATGGTAAAATCATGGAATGACATGATCCGTATGTGGTCCTTTTTTTAAAAAGATTTATTTATTTATGCCTGCAAGAACTGGGGTGCAGGCCAGTTGAGGGGGATGGGGAGAGGATTCATCAGAGACAGAGTGGGGAACAGAACAGGCAGATATACTGAAACACACAGCTAAGGGGAGTAGCGGGCGAGACAGGAGAGGTCTGCTGTGCCATGTGGGTTAAGCTTCCTGGCTGGCAGTGGCTGGCAATAGCTTCATAGTATAGCACTTTCTTTAACACCTGCACCACCAGGGAGACCCCTTATGTGACCTTTTTAGCTGTTCACTATTATAGATATAATTTGTTTCTTCCTGTACCTGGAAATGTTCTGCAAGTTTCTTGGGCAGTAGTTAGCACATAGTACACAATGAATTCTTGCTGAAGGAATATGTAGGAAGGGCATGTCTTGGCATTGCAATATACCCAATATACAATGTAAAAAAATTTTTTTAAAGATTTATTTATTCATACAGAACTGGGGTACAGGCCAGAGATGCGGAGGGTGAGAGGATTCACCAGGAACAGAGTGGGGAGCAGAACAGGCAGATC